TTAGGGCCTTCTTCCTTATCTTTTTTTTTTTTTTCGGTGAATTTCGCCTTTTTGTTGCAGTATTTCCGCAGGATGTTATACGAGAAGCCTTCGGAGTTTTATCAAAATGGTTTTGCTCTGACTTCTTCATATTTATTTGTAATAAGAAGGGTTTTTGTCTAGCAGTGCTAATTTATACTCGTCAGATCTATATAAAGTTATCACTTGTGTGCTGTCCATTGCTCTATTTCCTAGTGGAAGGTTGGAGCATTTTGTGATAAGGATGTTGTCCTGATTCAACCCTTAATTTTTAAATTCTGCTCAGATGCCAAAGGACTTGGGTATGCCATAACCACGACTTGGCGGCAGAGCGGGTTTTATTAGAAGGGTTGCATCGTCCGTACAAAAAGGAGATCGCAGCCTGTCTGCTTAATAGGTCTGGGAAATTTGGCTGGTTCCACTGCAATTCTGGGGACATGAACTCATCACCATTTACTTCTTAGTTTTATATCGATGAGATTCAGACATGAAGTAACGAAACAATAATGACTAGTCAATAGTAAATCTAGTTAACCCGCATGTATCTAACATAGAAGCAGCACCATTTCATCGCAAGTCTAGTCGGACACGGTTACGAGTCCCAGAAGGTAACTTCCGTCACATTTTCGTCAGTAGTATGATGGACTGTTCGTGCAGCTACAATGTAAGTTTCAGACTGAGTCAGATGACGTGACAAAAATCAAACAATTTTCGTAACAACTCTCTTCTGACAGTGTTTATGGACGTCTCCGCTTCCTAAGCGAAGTCTTAATCTATGAAAAAATTAGTAAAAAAAAATTCCCTCCCTAGAAAATGCACCGGAATCTGAGAAATAGGTAACATACAGTCACTCAAACTAAGAGGACGCCATTTTGGTAACAGTTCAATAAATGAACGTCCCTTCTTCGAAGCTTTCAAAAACGGGTGCGAAACGAGTCTGGATACTTGCCATCTAAAAGACAATGTTTTAATTAAAGTTAGGAATTTCCTAAATCAGATGACTTCGAAAATAATCCTACTCTAAGTTACTTGATAGAGGAGTGTTTTCAAAACAGGCAGCACCTCTCAAAAGATGCAAATGTATGAAAGGATCAACAGTTAAAATCTTTAAAAAACTCGAGAAGCTCTTGCCTGTTCTCAGGCATCGGTTTCAAACATATTTCTACAAACTCGTGAAAACCATCACTGAAGCGTCTCTTCTTCTGTTCGGGAATTGCACCCTCTAGAATTCATCATGAAATTACTATTATCAACAAAACTACCTAACAACAAAATCTAGTCCTCTGGCGGACACACTTTCGGTCACTTTCTAAAACAAAATTGCAGAAGCTTCAAAAATGAAACCGTCATTAGGGAGCGTCGTGCAGTCAAGAAGCCTAGGTGTTGTTCCTTTACTCTTCTCATACAGCATCTGAAATAACTTCATCAGCACAACGGCTATGATACTCACAAAAAATTTATTAAACTGAAAAAAGAAATTTTACATCAAATAGACTAAAGTTAATACCTGAAGCCGATCCATATCCGAAAATGGAGGGAATCCATTGCCCATTTCACAAAGAGTTATTCCTACACTATACACATCAGACAAGAGTCCGTATCCAAAAAGATCCTAAAAAAACAATGACAGTAAGCCATATTACCTTTATGCTACAAAGCTGTGCTTTGAAGGCCAGCTAAATGGACCTACGACCTGTTTTAATACTTCTGGAGCAAGCCATAAAATTTCGCTACTGAGATCAAAATCAAAGTCGTGCAACACATTTTCAGCCCCGGTCAATTTATTCCTTTTCAAGAAAGTACACTGACGCAGACTGCCCAGCTTTACTGCACCACTGGTATCCAAATAAATATGGCTGCATCGTATAGATCTAAATAAAAAGCTCAAGCCATTTTAACAAATTCCGTAAAATTCAGAACTGCCGTTAACAATTAAATAAAGTCCGTGCAAAAAAATTGCTAGACAAAAAACTGGGAATGATCTGTAAAGTTAATCCATACCTATGCACAATATTTTGGTCATGAAGATACCGCAGTCCTGAGAGTAAACCTTTTAAGATCAAAATTATTGCCTTCTCTGGCAACCCATAATGATAATATGTCTGTATGATTCGCAGAACAGAACCTAAAGTAGACAACAAGCTAAAAAGACGATAATGTCGGATGTTTAGAATGCATCATTAGTATCCTTTAAAGCTAAAGAAGGTCTAGAAACTGAACTTGAAAAAAGTGTCAAAACCATCGGCTGGATGATTATTTGATAAAATAAAAATTTACTAACGATAGGGGGTTATTTTAGCAATAATCACTCCTAAAACTTACACATATTATAAAATGGAGTCAAAATATAAACATCTGACCCGCTTGAAAAAGTCATTTCCAATGAGACAATATTTGGATGAGATAGCCACTTCAGAAACCAAACCTCCCTCTAAAATAAGTTTACTGTGAAATGTTTTAGAATGAGTTTTTTCAACAGTCCGAATACGCCAAGCAAAACAACCGTCTTGAAAGCTACGAAAGTCTAGACAATATCTGACCTTAACCTGCTCATAATCAGCTCTATCTATGGGAATAACATGTGCCACCTCTACGGTATCACGGCCACTGCGTTTTACTAGCAGCACATCCGCTAAACCGGAATACGCCTTACCTGCAATGTTTCATGAGAAATAAAGTATTATTAAAGTGACAATTACAGCTGGTCAGCGCTCATCAAATCAAAGGCAGAACGGAAAAAACAACTTTGGAGCAAAAAAAACTCATCCAAGCACTTGCAAAAGAGCAACTTGCTAGGTTAGGAGCCCTACTGTAAATAAATTAGCTTCACGAGTCAAACCCAAGGCTGGTATTATATGTGACAAGAAATCAACAGAGACGAAAAAAAAAAAGATCAATTAAAGTCCCTTGAAAACCTTACCGATATAGCCTTCAACAGAAAACGCTGGAATCATCATAAAAAATTCTGACTGCAGAGTCCAATTAAAAACGCACACATTTACGGCGATGCCATCGTCACTCAACTACATACAGCAAAAATTTTAAAAAATCCTAAAAACAGTAAGTTACACCCAGGTTTCCGCTTCCCAAAAACATCATCTGCAAATCCAGACCCAAACCGGAAGTCAATACACCTTAAATTTCAAAAAAACAAAAGAACGAGTAATTGATTCGTAATGTAACCCTCACCAGCTTAAAAAAACTGCATAGTTAGCTTCATAAGTCGCTTCAAACAAAAGAATTTTACTTATTTTGCTAATAAATACACACCCACACACATACTTATTATTTTGTAGATATGCAGAAAATTAAAAGAATGAAGGTGAAATAGAGGAAAAACAAAGATAATAAAAAGTACTTTACAACATGAACAAAGGAAATCAGTCATAACCCATTTCACAGACAAAAAAGTCAGAAAACAACTGGCATTGGTACCAGAATTGGAAAACGATAAAATCAAATCAAGGTTTTTTTCGCCGTTTGCGACGAGAAATCCTACACAGATGTAAGTAAATATTAAAACCTATATAACCAGTTGTACACTGAGGTCAGAACGCCGTCAGAGAAAATCGCCCTAAAGCGATAAGTGAAGGGACAACAGCTATAGATTATAACATTTTAAGTGTCTATCTAAAAAGAATAACTATTTCAATCAAAGGCAAATGAAGAATCGAACACCTCTTCAAGAAAACAATGGGGAAGAATAAACTGAGTATGATGTAAAAGAATATACGCACAATAGAAATTTTATAGCGACAACTGCATGAAAACATATTTCTTGTACTTTAAACAATTAAAACAGACCCCAGCACAATAAAGTCACTATAAATCACCTCGACATATTACTAGAAATAAACAAGACAGAAAGCTCAAAAGACAATTTCTAACGACCATTCAATATAACAGGTACTTTAGCAACCCTTTATAAGCAAATTTTGCCCAGAAAATGATATTTTACAAGAAATTGTAAAATAAAAAGCGCAAAAAACACTGTTATAATGCGACACAAATGAAAAAAAAATAAACCAAATTTACAGACAAAATCTCATCGATCCGCAAGAAGACCTATATCATCTGCCACTAATTCAGTTAAAACTGCACGATATTAGAATAAAAAAATTCGAAAAAAAAAGAATAAATTGTAACATTGATAAATATAAACATCTTATTGTACTGTAAAATCAGTAGGTTAATTAACTCATTGATGAACATTTAAATTCTCCATCTTCTTCTCTACAACTTCTAGTTCACGCAACAAACACGTCTGCTTTGTTTTTTGATCCAATGACTAAAAAAGACGACAAAATAACAAAGGGGAATTCGATTACTCGATTCAAGTCCTAACAGAGAGGAAAATTCGGAATTATTTTAAATTAAAAAACAGTTCAAAATCAGTGAAAAGAATTTCTTACTTGAATCTGCCGACTAGCAATATTCAATTCAACTTTCAGTTGCTGTTTCTCAGCAGAACAACCAAGACCACCATTCTTCTCCACATCATTTAAACGCTCTTTTACATCCACGATACGATCTAGCGTTAAACTCACAACGTTTTGTGGATCTATGGGAGCGGCAGGAAATGGCCTTATCACAGGAGGAAGATGCTCAACGACTACGGCAGGGTCTACAATTTTTTGCCTTGCTATCTGGAGATCTTAAATATGCGCCAATTATTCATTTTAAAGTGAAACGATAAAACCATACATTTATAAAAAAGTTCAAGAATTTCTTTAGTGGCTGCAAAGTGAAACAGAGAAAAGCAACCGCAAAAAAATCCAAAACTTCTATTTGATAGCCAAGCATTTTGATCTGATGACAACTTCAAGCAACCAAAATAAGTGGATGAAAACATACTGTAAGGTCGCTGTATAGCAGGAGTTGGCAAAGGCTGGCTAATTGTATCTTTGATTTGCATCACCGCGCACGGCGCCTGCACAGTCGCCAGTTTTGTAGTGGTAGAATAAACGCATGGCGAACACACAGGTAACACAACTGCAGATACGACAGCTTTTTCGTTAAGGCAACTTCTGGAAAAAGTAGAAGAATTAAAGGCTTGGAAAATGAGGCCTTCAGGAAATGATGAGATAATAAACGCAAAGACGGTGCCAAATCAAAATCAAGTGTAGAAATGCCCTTCGTGACGAAATGAACGTACGTCGTCTCATCTGCCGAAGGCACACTGTACCGTAAAGGAATTGGTGGAAGCTGCAAGCTGCCGCCAGAGGTTGATACAACCGACATTTCTTTTTCATCATAGAGTACAGAATTCGCCACTGTGTAAGAAACATGACTGAAAGCACCAATTTGAAAGTATACTTTAAATCTACAGAAGAATACTGAAGAGGTCCCAAATATAATATCAAAAGTCTCGCAAAAAGATTTAAACAAAGTTGTTCTAAAAAAACTTCGTACTAGGCTTGTAAGGTACAATTAAATACCCATAGAGCAGAAGTGTGGCTGAAAAATATTCTTTCATCAATATATCAGACCTATGTTTCCTTATTCTATTCATTTTTATTCAATTTTTACAAGCTTCAAAAATAGTGTAACAACCTTTACACCCCAACACATACAAAAAATACTAAGTAAAATTGCTAAAAATCTGAATGATCTCATTATAAGTCTTAAAAAACTCAAAAAACAAAGGAGTTGCCGGTAAGTATATTACAAACCATAGAAAGACAAGAGTAATGAAAAAAAACGTTCAGTCAAATACCTTTGAAGATCGTCATCATCAGCACTTTCTTCGCACGACAAATTCCCTGTGCCACTTTGATGTAAACCTGCCAAACGCCTAAAGCAACAAACAACCGTACAGTCTAAACAGAGTAAACTTAAGCACAGTTCATCGTACTCTAAGCCCTACAAAAAGACAAGGCAGACTGCCTATACATGAGGTCTGAGAAGTAAACCAGGAATTTGTTGCACAGCAGTACAGCAAAAAAACTTTCAAGTAAAAATGGAACAAACTATCAACTCCGAACACAGTTCAGTAAAATTGAGAAAGAATAAAAAATTTTACGAGATAATTTCATTTCGCCTAAGTTTAAGCTGCTCTTCATCCTCGTAATCGGACGTTTTGCCCTGGCAAAACTGAGAAGAATGTCGGCCATTATAAACAGGAATCATATGCTATACAAATTTCATTTAAAACTTGAGCACAGTAAGGAAAATATCAGAAGAAATTTCTGGTTAGAAACTGAACAACAAATTTTAAAGACTGACTCCATCTGTACTAGATGCTGGTGTAACTGTGACTGCACATCGGCCATCGTCAAAAACTGGCCAGTAAGGCTCTGGACATTCAAATGGCATTTCAATAGTTCTACTGTTAAGATCATCAATGATTCTTCCACTATAAGTTGCAAAGCTACTACCACAAAGATATTAAAAACTGTTACTTCTCAGTAATTAATAGCCAACAAACCATGACGGCATCCATCTCATCCCACCAACATCAAAAGGCACCTGCGACGGAGGTACAGCCACGGGCATAGGTATCACCTGAGACGCGTTTTGAGGAGGTAACGCTGTGGCAACCCTTTTCATCGGCTGAGGTGTTGGGACCTGCCACATTGTTGGAACAATGACAGGTTGGGGCGGCCTAGGGTTTGCCACAGCATTATTGGGCGGTAGCTAAATGAAAAAACCCTACTGAGAAATAAACAGGGAAATTACAAATGAAAGAGGCAAATATGCCTGTCTTAAAAATAATAACACAGAATCCAGTAAAACCAGAAAATTAAAATCTAATAAACTCTAACAAAAATATCTACATTTTCTGAACCAACTACCTCAATATGACCAAGAAAAATGTAGAAGTTTATACAATGAGATACAAATGCATTATGAATTAGAAGTCAGTTTTCAATTCAGGGAAACATGTGACAGCCTACAGGGATTGTTCCTACAAGAACAGGAGGAGGAGGAGGAACTGCATCAACACCAGGAACTCCAGGCATAGCTGATACAGTGGGTACCGCAGGACCGCTTTGAACTACAACTGGAAGAACCGGGATTGTAGCATTAGAAGGTTCTACTGCAGGAGTCCTCTGGACAACCACTGGGACAACTGGAACTGGCATTGGAACAATACCAGCATTTTCCGCACCCAGAGCTAAAGGACATTGTTAAAAAGAACAAAATTAGTTAAAAATAATCAGGTTTTAGGTTTAAAAAAAAAA